ATGTGTTTATGTGTTATGCACCACGGTGCTGGGGAGGGTTCTAACTTTCTGCAATCCTCTTCAGATTTTGTGCCTTTAGCTTTGTGTGCTATTTGTTGTTTTACAGTCCCTGGGAGGTTTTGTGGTAACTTTGGGTTGCAGTGCAGTGTTGCAAATCTGTGTGCAGACGCTGTGGATTTCTATAAATGGAACACTTTTACCTGGAAAGATGACTCTTAAGTTGCAGCCTAGTTAGCGTGATTTCTGTTAAATGCATTGGCTGCTTTTGGGTGACCAGGATGTTCTGACAGGAGCACTGTGAGGTGGCATAACAGACCTTCGGTTGGTGTGTCTTCCTTTTTCTCATCTTCTGTGTAAAATGTGTCATTCATTTATTCTTGGAAGTCGCAGTGCTTGCATTAAGCTTCTCCAACCTGTACAAAGAGATGATTCTAGCTTGAGGATTCAGCTTGCTGTTCTTTATCAGTTGCCACAATTGATTTAGGCTGTACTGTTGTTCCTTCTAGACACTTTTGTGGATTGTGTCTTAAATATTGGATGAAGTTCTTTGAAATATTAGCATAAGCAGCAGCCTAATGTAAAGGGGCAGATGTTACTTTTGAAACAGTAAGGATGGTACCAGTTTTCAGTTGGTCTTCAGACTTTTTTTATGCATCATAACCCATTTTATTTATCATGTAATTTAACGCAGGACGAGCTTATGCAAATATAAAGTAGAAATTTAAAACCCCATTTTGGGAGACTTCATATGAAGGGTTAATGTTAAATAAATAATGTTCTAGAAATCCGCTTTGGAAGTTAACAAATGACAGATTTGAATTACTTATTTAACTGATTAGGCCTTCTTGAGTATGTGTAATATTATACAATGTATAATGGGGCAATTATACTTTGTATTTGCTCAAGGGGAGCCTTGCTTACTTAAGTGCCCCAGATAGGTGGTGCATAACTCTTGTGGTTTTATTTCCTGAATTACAATGTAGTGTGTGACTTTGTAAATTTCCTTAAGATTGATATGATAATGCTGGTGCCCCCAAAGGCAAAACTAAGTCAGATGTGTTAATTTTGGGGTCCTTAGTAATCAAAGACTATTGATTTTGTGTAAGTTATCTTCTTATTAAATTACTTTCATTTTTCTTGTGACTAGTGCCTTTCATCTGTTTAATAGTGACTTCCTAGCTTCAGCAGTGACGTTTTTGTTCTGTTCTTTGTGCTAGAGGAGGTATGAAACTAAGCTGATCCCAGCACCCGATGCCTTTGCAATCTCTTCAGAGACTTGCTTTAGTAAACTTGACACCGGTGTTTAATAATGGAAATAAACACATTTGTTGTAGAGTATGATGGAAAACATTTGATCTGCTTATTTGCTGCTTGTGTGGTTTGATCACTTAATGTTTTAGAAGATGCCTCTGCTTATCCATTCTCATGGATGAATTGAATGGTAACTGTAAAGTGATATACTGTGTAAACTAGTCTCCCTGACACTTGGATGTTCATGTATTTAGCTGCTAAAGTAAATAAATAGCTAAATTATTTTGTTTATATGTACATCTGACCTCTACAAGAAAGGAGGCTAAACTTCGAAATAGACTGAAAGATACACATCAATGTTTCTCTTAATGTTCCCTTAACATTGAATGTTCTCCTCTTAATGTTAAATCTGTCCTTCTTGAGTGATGCCTTAGTGAGTACTGCAAGATTATTCTCCTTCTTGTATGACTCTCCACCTTGCCAAAGAACAAAGGAGAATAGGAAATAATTAATTTTTTAAAAGGCTTATCTTTACTGCGACAGGAATAGATTAGATTTGGCTCATGTGAACTAATTAACATTGAATTAAGTTCAACTCCTTCTTCTGTTCAGACAAACCTCCAGTGATTGCTACTCTTCTCTCATCCTTTTAGTGAATATCATGGCTGGCTACTCTTCCCCAAGCCTTGTTTCATGTCAGTGGCAGAATGTTACTTCTCAGAGCAGCAACAAAGTTCAAAAATAAGGGGTGTAATGCTGAATGCAGAAGGACCCTTGAGTTCTGGTGATGGTTGGGAGTACATAAGCAGGGTTTGGGACAGATTTCCTTTTTCTCTTTCCTGATGTTTGTAATGCAGCTTCAGTCTCTGACAGTAGTGGTAAGTGACGTGCACTGGCCCTGCATGTTCTCCCCAGGCAGGCAGTACCAGTGGATTCACAGCTCTCTGAGGAAGTGTTGCGTTGCACAGAGGTGTGCTGAGCGCATAGAACTGATAATGTGATGTGGGAGACAAACAAGGAAATAACTAGTTTGTAATCAGGCTTAGCTGTCCTGAACATTCTGGAAGGAACTTAGAGGAGCAAATAATTGTACTGCTGTTCTTTGTGTTTCTGGCCACTTGGTTGCAGGAGAATTCTTGCAGAGTAACGGCAGTGATAGGAGCAGGCCTTGAAGGTCTGAGACATGCAGAGCAGCTCTTTTCCTTTAACTTCCCATCCTGTTCCTTCCCTGATGCATTTGGCTCTGAGGGGGAAGGATGGTGTTGTCTGTACCAGTGTGAAGATACAGCTCGTAGGAGGGTGCACTGTTGTCTTTGAAAAGTATGGTGGGAGATGGAGTTACTTAACCTGATATGTGTGTAGCTGATTTTGCAACTGCAAAATGAATGTGTTGTAAGGAATGATTCCATTACAAAGCATCCTGGCAATGGAAATATTGGACTCATTCCCCCAAGTCAGCTTTTACTTTTTCCCTCTCTTGCAAAGTATTGAAGTATACTTGGGACAAGAACAGTGATGCTATTTTCTTGTTCTCTATTGTATTTCTTTCTACATTAGCATTGAACTAATTTAAAGAAATATATACTCTGCATGAAGTACTTTTGCCAGAACCCATGTTAGTACAGTTTGAGCTTGTCAGTTTGAATGTGGTTTTTGAAACATCTCCAGGTATGTTCTGTTGATGTCTCCTTAAAAAAGTCAAGTCACTATTCTGTCATCTGTTGCTCTGTGTTATTTTCAACTCTAATTCTGGCAAAGCAGCCAAAGAGATAAAGCTTTGGGAGGAGATTTTCCAAAGGTATTTCAGGACCCTTATCCTTTTTACTCCTTTTTTTTTTAATGTCTGTTTCCAAGGGAACTGAGGAGACATAAACAGGCAAAACTGACTCACTTCTGGTTGCAGGTTTTTAATCTGCTTGCATTTCCATGGAAACCAGTCATGCAGCAAAAAAAGGCTGAATTAATCAAAAGCAATCAAACCTTTATCATCAATATAAATACTGGTTTATCTCTTTCGAAGTAAAATGGTACTTTTGTCAATTCTTGTATTAGGGTCTAACAATGTACTGACGAAATGGATCTTCTTGCAAGGACTTGGAAAATGTTTACTCTTAGTCAGGTGGCTCATGGATGTGTGTTGGTATCCAGGGTGGATGGGTACAGCTGCTGTGTCTTGGGCCACTGGGAGTGTCCCTTGTTCTGCGTCAAGGGTGTGGCTCTTACGTACATGGACATCTGACTTCCTTCTGTTCTTTGTTTAGTGAAGAACCACTGAAAAGACCTTCAGTTGGTGTGTGAGCAACTAGGCCATGGGGACAAAC